GATGGAAGCGCATGCAGGCGAGGTGTGTGTGTGTGTAACTTCCCACCAAGCTCAACGCGCGCGCTTTTGTTGACAAGAAAATTTTGGCGCTGGCGCTGAACGCCAGTGGGTACGGAATCGAAACTTTCCCCCTGGGTGAGTCAAGCAGCAGTCAGGAAAGAGCGAAGCCAGGGGTGATCTCAAGCAGCCTGCCTCGATGTATAGATGCTAACCGAAAGTCATCAACGCCCTCTGGTTGTTCCTTGAGCCAGTTGCGCCACTGATCGACACCATGGCCCACGGATCAAGCCTGCCCACAGCTGCCGTGCCCTGGAATGGGCGTCACGCGACGAGTGCGGATGGCTTTATTGCCGGGCTGTACCTTGATCTTGACGGTGCGCGCCGCGCCGGCTTGCGCAAATGATTTGGTCCACGCCGCTCGCGCACCAGATTGTTCACGCGCCAGATTGTTCACGCTGATTTTAGGCACGATCCTGGATGGTGACATGCATCATGCCTGCTGGTACTTTCTGCATCAGCTGCCCGCCTCATTGACCAAGTTTTTACGCCTTGGGACCTATCCGCTTGCCCTCCTCTTGGCCATGGCCACCCAGTACGCTTGGCCGCACCTTGATTGAATCGGGTCGAGACGTGGTGGTGCTGATGATGGCCCCTCAAATGTCCTTTGCCACTCCCAGAGCCGTCCGCGGAGAAAGCGCAGCGGTCAAAATTCTGGCCTGGCATGCTACAGCGGGTCTCAAGGCGCCTGATCTCAAATTGGCGGGTCAACGCACGAGCGAGGTGCTGGCACGCAACATTCGCCCTCAAGTACTTGCCGAACTGCGCGCCTACCAGGCAGAGGTACGTCTTTTCTTCTGATCGGGCTCCTTAAACGGGGAGTCACCATCAGTTCTACGCCTCTTCTTTCTTTTTTTTTTCTTTTTTTTTTGGAAAGAGATAATAGTAAACCAGCACCGGCTTTGCCCCCTGACATGCTCGGCCGTGGTAGGGCTTTTACGTTGGCATTGTGACGGGCAACCTCGAGCCGCTGGTCCGCTCGCTGGTCTTTGATGTCCTCAAAGCCAACGCTCTGGAAGGCACTCGCCTACTGATCAATGCCAAAGGCATCGTGACAGGCAGGTTCCCGGCACAAACCGTCGCAGTAGAATGGCGTGCCCCTCTTATCCCATAATCCCGCGCGCCACAGGTCAGATCGACGGCGCCGTATGCGTGGCTGAGGAAAAGGTACGGCGATCTTTACTCTCTAAAAAAAAAAATGAAAAAGAACGGCCCCTGCACTCTGATGCCTCACGAGGTCGGCGTGGTGTGCACGCAGCGCCGGCGGCTTCGCGGTAATCCCGTCCTGCACGAGCTCGAGTATACCATTGGCTATGGCAACAGTGGCAACGACATTCCCTTCATGTCCCTGATGACCACGGCCAAGGCCATTACCCCTTCGGCGCGGCTCTGGCGCCACGCCACGCAGGCTGGTTGGCCTGTTTATACACCAGTTGCTCTGCCCTCTGAGCTGGCCCTCTTTGCCCGCATCTACGCAACTGTATAGACACGGGGGGTGCCGTTTGCATGGTCTAGGCTAGGCTTTGATGGCGTGGTACTGGCGGCAGGACAAGTCGAGTTTTATTTTTATCGGTCGTGATGTTTGCTTGCATGAGGTGGCGGACGCTGTGGAGGTCTAGGGCAGAGGGCCAGGCACGCAAAGAGCCCATGCCCCTCGCCATTCAGCGCAGGATGATGTCTGGCACGACAGTGGGCCGGCGGTGCTTCTCGAGGGTTGGAAGAATGGTGATGTTATGGTGATCAATTGTGGCCTCGCGAATCAACAAAAACATTGACAAAAAAAAAAAAAAAACTCTTTACACAATGGCAGCCAGACAAGCAGAAGCTGTTTGGATCAGGAAAAAAAAGGGGGGAGGAAGAGGGGAAGGCTACCGACGCGGGCGAGGCGACACGGCAAGGACGGACGGCAATGGGCGACAAGAGCGTGGGGCCAGGAGGGGATGGAGGGATGGTAAGCGCGCAGCCAAGGTATCAGCAAATTGTCGCTGACAACTACCCGACCGTTTCTAGCCGTTACGATGCCAACCTGATATGGCGGCGCCCCCCGGTGGAGCGCATGGCCCCACCTGCAAGGTATAAGCGCTGGGGAACGACTGCGTCGGCAGGGCAAGAAGTGCACGGTCAGACGACCAGGAGCTGGCAAGCGGAAGCCAAGGTGGCGGGAACAAATTTTGGCGCTGCTGGCTAGTGACCGTTGGTGACCGTTACGATGAAGAAGGCCAACCCGATTTGGCGGCACCCAAGCCGAGGTGAGGCGCCTGGCCTCATCTGCAAGAGATCAAGCGCTGGGAAACAACTGCGTTGGCAGTGCGAGGGGCGCGGGCCGGAAGAAAAACAGGGGAAAATCCCACATCAACTGGCAACGAGCCACCTTGGTGTGGTCAAAGCAGGTCAGCGGCGGCGCCCACGAGAAAATCAAGCGTACGGCATCGCCCGCAAGAGAACAAGCGATGGTAGACCACCATCGTTCACCATCGGCAGCCGTGTCACCGATCACAGGCATATCGCCCGGCTTCCCGTTTGATCAAACGGCAGGCGTCGGGTCACCCCCCCCCCCTGCTTTGGATGTCAGCTACTTTCCCAAGCTCCTCATGGCAGTGCCCGACTCCTGACCCAGCTTATCTTTGATGACGTGGCCCATTCTCAGTGAAAACGTAAGGCAACGTAAGGTATAAACACTCTTCAACCTGTTTGGGTCTCATTTTCTTCTTCTTCCCTCCCAGACAGAGGTGGTTCATTCGTGTGATTCAATTTGCCAAGATGGCGGCGACCGACTCTGGGTTTGCTTCGTTGCAGACCTCTCATGATGATAAGTACGTCTGCACCATGTTAAATGCGACTTGGGACAAGTGGGAATTCCACCACCTCCTTCCACCCTCTCTTCCACACACACACACACACACACAAAACACAAACAAAGAAAAAACTGCATTATGTGATCATGACAATCATCAGGACAATTTATGATGACAATTTCATTTTTGTCATATGTTTTATAATGGAGGGATGATTTTAAACTTACTCATTTCGCTTTGTGTCTTTGATAGCAAAAAAATCATGCTCACAAATAAACAGAAGCGCTGGGGAGTGCAGCGACTGCTGGAGATCTTGCGTTTGAAGAGGCGTTTTTTCGAAGAGTGGCACAATTTCCTTTACAACTGTCCCAGGCACTTTGCGATTGTGTTTTCGTTCGTGCGCTTGATTGCCGAGTATTTGCCAGAACAGACGAGCGAGGTGAAGGATTTTCACAAAATGGTCAATTGTTTTGATCATGTTGATGGAAACATGTGTCATACTAACCTCAAGAAGGATGATCTTCCAATCATCGACAAAGAGTACCTTGATTGTGTTTTAGAGACCTTCGAACGCCTCGTGTGCAAATGCGACCGCCCTATCGACATGGACCATGATGTACTTCATTCTAAGCTTGAAGAATTTGAAAACATCCATGAGGACCTGGAAAAATTTTATGGTCGAGTGAAACCTGAATACCGAGACTTCTTTTTGATCAGCCGCAAGATGCCCATTGTCATCGTCTTCATCCAGCTGCGTCGCCTTGATGAGACTATGGAGATTGTTCATGGAAAGGATAAATCTCATCTCTACGGGTTTCTGAGCGGATTTCATCACAGGCTCAACCCTGGAGACTTGACAAACCTTTGTGCTGAATGGCAAAGGAATTGGCTGGAAGAATTCTGTCGTGAACATGAACTGTTTGAACCTCCGTTGGCTGCAAGCTCAAGCAAACCATTTCACGAGAGCACACGTCCAACAACCAAACGTCCAACAAGCACACGTCCAACAAGCACGCGCTCAACAAGCACACGTCCAACAAGCACACGTCCAACAAGCACACGTCCAACAAGCACACGTCCAACAAGCACACGTCCAACAACCACACGTCCAACAAGCACACGTCCAACAAGCACGCGCTCAACAACCACACGTCCAACAACCACACGTCCAACAACCACACGTCCAACAAGCACACGCGCAACAACCAAACGTTCAACAAGTACGCGTCCAACAAGCACACGTCCAACAAGCACACGTCCAACAAGCACGCGCGCAACAAGCACACGTCCAACAAGTACGCGTCCAACAAGCACACGTCCAACAAGCACGCGCGCAACAACCACACGTTCAACAACCACACTTCCAGCAAGCACACGTTCAGCCACACGTGTGCAGGGTAGTGTGCCACATCATCAACAACCTTCGAACTCACAGCCCGGTGAAACAGAACCCAAATGTATCGGTGCTTGCACTTTCATGTAATTTGGCCCTCGCAGATGTCTTGTTGTGCTTTGTTGACATGTGTCTCTTTGTGATGTCTAAACCTTTTTTTCCATCGTGTAAGCCGAGATCGGTGTGATCCAGTTGTGTTGTTTCCCCCGAGCCAGTGCGTATGTTTTCCAGAGCAACATGATGTCTTGTGGTCTTTCAGAACTGGCCCTCACCCAGCTCGCAGGCCAGACCGACCCACCCAATTCATGCTTGTATGCGCATTCGATCTCATCATCATCCTTATGGGATCAGAGCAAGGGCAACCACACTGCTAACCCTTTTGCCTCTGGCCATTTTTCATCTGACATCTTCATTGTCATCCTTTTCATGCCTGTTTGTTGCAAAAAGATTTCTCTCTTCTCTCTCTCTCTCTCTCTCTCTCTCTCTCTCCCTCCTCTCCCTCTCTCTCTGAAACTCTCTCTCTCTCTCTCTCTCTCAAAAACTCTCTCTCTCAAACTCTCTCTCCCTTTTGTTCACACACACGTGTCTGTGATTCAGCTCAACACACACATTCTCTCTCTCTCTCTCTCACACCTCTCACACACACACACACAAACGCGCCTGAGACTCGAAACGGCAGCGCGGTGAAGAGTCCCGTGTTTGAGATTGCCTGGTCTGGATTGAGACGGTCTCGACCCTTGGATAGCTTGAAGTAGTCTTTGTTTGAAGAGCTGTTGGTGGGGTTTGAAAGGCTACAAATCGGCACCATGGCCGAGGCAGCAGAGACGGCGCCTGTCAAGCTCAAAACCTCGTACGACCCCTGCTTCACACCGCATCCGCCCGGAAATGCCCTCGGCCTCACGCTTGCCCTGATGCACTTGATGTGTTTCAGCTATAAAGTGGCTGCGCGTGCTGAAGCGCTGTGCACCGGTGGGAATTTGCAAGTGACAGAGGATGGCACCTCCATCTTTGCCATCTGCGCCACCGAGGTCAACCAAATCGATACACAGACCGGTCGCAAGCTGCAGAGTATCGATGGCGTACGATTGGCACGCAACGCCCGCTGATAGCTGCCGCGATGACATGTCTCGTCTCAAGACCCTAATCCACACCGACCTCTTTTGTTGCCTATTTTTTTTTTTTTTTTTAAGGACTCGAGTGCCGTGACCTGCATTGCTCTTGCCCCGGATGGCGACGTACGTACAGTAAACCCCAGGCAATTTGTTGTTCTTTGACTTTTTCTTTCCCACTTGACCCTCCACTCACCCCCACACACCCTTACCCGACAACCGTTTAAACCGTCTCTTCCACCTCTCTATGTTGCATGATTTTACTTTTTTTCTTGCCATCCGGCACGACCAGACCTTGGCCGTCGCCAGCCAATCTCAGATGATCCGGGTGTGGTCCTGGCGCACACTCGAAATGAAACGTAGTTTCAAGGTCCGCCTACCCTACTTTGCTTTGCTCTGTCTGGTCCAGGCCCCAACTGCACATTGTTCAAAGCTGCCGCCCATGCCCTCATCGCTGTTTCAATCCCGTTGCTACGCTGGCATTGCTCACAGGCCCACCAGGCTCCTGTGCTGGCCATGTCCTTTGACAAAACTTCCACCCTGCTTGCCACGGGCTCGGCCGATGCCACCATCAAAGTTTGGGACGTGCGCCAAGGCTTCTGCACTCACAACTTCAAGGGTTCTCAAGGCATCGTCTCGTACGTTGACATCGTAAACCCTCAATCTGGCACCACACACACAACACGCAACGCAACGCACCATGCATCCCGCTTGCTTCTGATCCTTGGTTCATCCTGACGAATTCTGACCCAACCATAGCCTCGTAGCCTTTCACCCCCACAGTCTACACCTTTATACTGCAGCCGATGATGGCCACGTCCGCAGCTGGGACCTCAACGAGAGCAAAGCCCGTAAGGTCTTCAAAGGTCACATGTCGGTCGTCACCGCCATCCAGTTTGACAGTACTGGCAAGCAACTGGTCACGTACGTCTGCCCCACCGCAAACACTTCGTGCTTGCACTCCCATTCATCGCGCCCACATCTCCTACTTGTGCAGGGCCAGCCGTGACCGCGTCATGATGACCTGGGATGTGGCTACGGGTCAAAATCTTGATACCGTCCCCACGTTTGAAGTTCGTTCGGGCCTGCTCCGCCATCCCGTTCATGGGCTCCCAAGAGGCGATGTCACTCACTTTCTCCTCCTCCCCTCCCACTCACGCACTTGGGTACACAGGTGATTGAGGACATGGCACTCGTGCCGGCCCAAAATTTTGGTTTGTTATGACCCTTCTACCGTTCTTCCGACTTCAAGCCGGCGGCTTTTCCCCGCACACATTTGATGCTCATGCTGGCCTGCACACACAGGCTCGGACCTCGCTGCTGTGACCGTGGGCGAGCAGGGGCGTCTTCGTATTTGGGACCTGAAGAGTGGCAAAGAACTTGCTGCCCAGGCCCTACTGCCTCGGGAGGTGCCCTCCCACATGCGTCAGATCCTGCTGTACAACGAGCATGAGACCGCTGTCGTCCTCACCCACGACCAACAGCTCCAAATCTTTGACATGCAAACACAGCAACGAACACGCACGGTCCGTATCCCTTAAAAATGTCAGCCAAGGCAGAACCTTTCACCAACCAAGGCGAGAGTTTGCGCGCGCCCTTGTTTTGCCTGATGTTTCGCACCCCTCCCCATTTTTCAGATTATGGGGCATTACGATGACGTCTTGGACGCCTCCTTTGTGCAAGGATCGGACAATGTAGCAGTGGTAGCCACCAACTGCCCAACGTTGTATGCCGTTGACTTTGCCACAATGAACGCGACACCTTTGCACGGCCATGATGACGTTGTCTTGACGCTTGCCGTGAGCGCTGACGGCCGCTTCATCGCTTCAGGCAGCAAGGTCAGTCTCCTCGAACATTTCCTGGTTACAGCACGGGTATCAACATCCCCGAACTTACGATTGGACTGTGACTTCTGTGCTTGTGTCTGTGTCTGTGCCTGTGTCTGTGTCTGTGTCCGTGTCTGTGTCTGTGCCTGTGTCTGTGTCTGTGCCTGTGTCTGTGTCTGTGTCTGTGTCTGTGTCTGTGTCTGTGTCTGTGTCTGTGTCTGTGTCTGTGTCTGTGTCTGTGTCTGTGCCTGTGTCTGTGTCTGTGCCTGTGTCTGTGTCTGTGTCTGTGTCTGTGTCTGTGTCTGTGTCTGTGTCTGTGTCTGTGTCTGTGTCTGTGTCTGTGTCTGTGTCTGTGTCTGTGTCTGTGTCTGTGTCTGTGTCTGTGTCTGTGTCTGTGTCTGTGTCTGTGTCTGTGGGCAACATGATTAGGACAACACTGTACGGATTTGGTACCCGAACGAGGACACAGGTGTTTTTGAGCCTGTAGGCGTGGGCAAGGGCCATGCGCACGCCGTGGGCGCCGTGGCTTTTTCGTGCAAACGCAATGCGTTCGTGGTCAGCACTGGCACGGATACAACGCTCAAGCGATGGAAGCTGGATCCGATTGCACAACGGGCTGAAGGCGAGGTAGTTGAGCTCAAGGCCGATTACACCGTTCGTGCCCACGAAAAGGATGTCAACGCCATCTGCGTGGCACCCAACGACAAGTTGGTGGCAACGGCTTCACAGGACAAGCTTATTAAGCTGTGGGACGCAGCAACAGGCGCCGAGCGCCAGACCCTGCGCGGTCACAAGCGCGGGGTCTGGTCCATTGCATTCTCCCCCGTCGACCAGGTATACATGGCTTGCGTCTGACCTCCTACCCGACACGCGCTCGGCTCGCACTACTCTTCTTCACTAAATGCTGGCCATTTCGTCTCCTTGTTATGCGCATGGGATAATAGCTTTTGGCGTCGGCTTCAGGTGACACGACCGTTCGCGTCTGGGCTTTGGCGACGGGAACCTGCCTGCGGACGCTGGAAGGGCATTCCAACTCGGTGTTGAATGTACGCTTTGTGACCCGAGGTCAACAGCTGATTAGCAGCGGCTCAGACGGTCTGCTGCAGCTGTGGAATCTCAAAACCGCTGATTGCGCCGGCACCTTTGATGCGCACGAAGACAAGGTCAGACACACTTTTGTGTTTCATTTACCTTTTTTTTTTTTTTTTAACTTTACTATTCCTTATCATCATTGCGCTCTGCAATACATTTAGATTTGGGCATTGTCGGCGGCGGATCGTGAGGGAAATGCCATCGTCAGCGGTGCCAGTGATGGAACGCTGGTTCTATGGCGAGATGAGTATGTGTCTTGCCTGACTTGCAGCTGGTAGTTGCTCTGGCTACATGCTTGTGTGGTTCTAAGCCTGATCATAATGTGGTGATGTGTAGCACACTGGAAAAGGAGGATGATGCCAAAGCCCAGACAGAGGAAGAAATGCAGCTCAGTCAGGAATTGGACAACCTGATGGCAGCAGACGAGCATGCTGAGGCCTTCAAATTGGCTTTGCGGCTTGAGCGCGTATGTGTTGCTCAGCTTCAATTTCTTGTTTTGCTTTCCTTGCATTTTTATTTTCATTTTTTTTTTTATTTTTTATTTTTTTTTTTTGGCTCGGGGCGCATCTGATCTCACGGCGTGCGAGTTGGATGGGTGCAGCCACGTACCATCCTCAAGCTGACGCGCAATTTGGTTGAGCGTGAACAGGAGGTATGGTCAAGAATATGTTGACTAGGACGCGTTTTTCTACTGTTGAGGACTTTGTTAGCTTTGGCATACATTGGCCTTAACTCGTGCTCATCCCATGACTTGCACTGCAATTGCCATTTGGCTGTAATCGATAGGATGCACTACGAACTATAATTGCAGATTTGGGTACAGAACAGCTGCAGCTTCTCCTGGGCTTTATGAAGGATTGGAATGTGAACAGTCGCTCGGCGCTGCTTGCGCAAACGTTGCTGCACCACGTTTTAGCAACACACGATGTTGCAAAGTTGGCGCAGACCCCAGCCCTGGGTCGCACCGTCAATGCACTCATTGCCTATACCGGTCTGTGAAAATCTTCACCCCTCTCTTAGCTGAAGCCCAAGTTTGAGCTCACGAACCATGGACGTGTTGCATTGCTTGTACGTTTTTTTAGAACGCCACTTTCAGCGATTGCAGAAACTGGCTCAACAAAGCCATGTATTGGATTTCGTGTGGCGCAGCATTCGGTCACTGGATACAGATGAATCAGAAAAGCGGCCAGCACTAGCCTCAGATGCCGAGGTCGCTGCCAAGCGCCCTCATTTGGGAGGCGCAAACTCCAAGCGTCTGTCATAAGTCTGTGTTTGCCGCAAACAAGACTCGCAAGTGCCGACACACTTGAAGCAACCACATTGCAACCGTCTATCCCTTTCAGCATGATCTGCGTGCGGTAGAGTTTGGCTGAGATGCAAGTTGTGAATTGAAATAGCAGTGGCAAGGTTATGTCGTGTGGTTACTTTCTTCCCACCTGACGTTTTGACATTCTCAATTGGAATTTCGTTCAATGAACCGAACCTGGTCTGAAAATTTGCTTTACACTACACGGTGCGCACAATGCGCGCATTGCTGCCCCGCAAGTCTCGTGATTGAAGCCAACATAACAATGCATACGCGTGCTTCAGCTGCAGCTCCGCTGGTAAGATGTCTGCGGGGTCCACTCCTTGCAAACGAGGAAAGAACATCGCCTCCTCATCAAGAAAGAGACCAAGCTCGGCTTGGAAAGCTTGTTCCCCAAGGTCGTACATGGGCCAAACGTACACAATGACGCGACGCAGTGCGTCAGGGAGGCGCAACCACAAGTCTGATGGGTGGCGTGAGCGTGCTGTTTGAACGCGTCGGGCCAGATCAGGCTCCAGAGTATCAGGAAAGTTTCTGAGACGCAAACGACCAGGTCGAACTTCCAGCTCCAGGCGGCACAAGACGTTCACCAAACCCTCAACGTCGCGCAAAAGTCGAGGCATGACAGAGCTGACATGAGCTGTCTGCATGGCGCCTTGATCTTTCAGATGCCTCAGCGCTTGCTCCAAGGTTGCATCCCGACTCAAAGTCCTTAATTCTCTGTCATGGCTGACCAGATACTCCAGCAAATATTGTGCGGGTGTAAGGGCAAGACGCATTTGCGACTCCATCAGTGCCTGCGCTGCTTCTTCTGCCAACGGAACTTGGCACTGGCTGAAATTGGCCAAAGCACGAATGAAAGCCACACCGGGCTGCCAGAACGCAAAGGCCGGCACCGACTCGTTGGATACAAGGCACTTGTGCGATACAAATTTATAATAGAAGATCGCATCCAGTGCCCGCCAATCGGCAATCAGTGTCAGCCCATTTCCAAAGCCCGGGGCGCGCATGGCATACGGAAGCCAAATGTCATCCAAAGTAGCGGCATTCTCAAGCGAAATTAGGCAGCTGGCATCACAGTCGGAGAGGGGTACCTGAGGTGCAAAAGCGCGCCGTGGCTCTTGCGCCAACAAGACATGGTGCCGCTGGCCCGCAGCCGATAAGAGCTGCTGCAAGCAGTTGTTGTGCTGGGCAATCAGGGCCGCCAGAAGGGCGCGCAGTTGATCCCCATCAGCATCCTCTGTGGGGAGGAGTCTTGTTGCAGGTGAGCTCAATGAAAGCGCGGGCAATGGCATCAGTTCGCGACACTCAAAGCGGCCGTGAGGGCTATCTTCGTCGGCCCCGAGCAGGTCATGCGGAGCCGAGGACTGAAGCGTGTTCCAGGCTGTGATGAAGCCTTCAATTGCCGAGCTCTCCACAAGGCCTCTGTTGATCACATCCGTCAAGCGCATGGCTTGGACTTGATCGGCTTGTAGAAGTTGACTGTCAGCGGCATGCATCATCTGCGCACACGCACCCCACAACGGCCAGAGCTGTGCCGCGTGGAAGAGCATGGGCTGAACCTGCACAACGGCCGGTAGCAAGGGCAAGGCTGATGCAACGCGAGCATCGGATCGAAGGCGGCCTTCAAGAGCAGGCCAAGTGACTGCAGGGGCCAAGCGGAACGCTTCCTCCAGCTCAGAATCAGGTTCGTGTCGTTCCTGTAGCCACAACGCAAAATGCGACACCTCTTGCCGTGACGCATCAGCTGCGGTGCACACGTCGACCCATGCTTGGTGTGCCGTCCGAGGGTCTGCTAGCTGCTGGGTCCAACTCGTCTGCAGGTGGGTCTCCAAGGCATCTCGCGCAGCCGTAGTGGTTGGAATCCCATGACCTTGCAAATCACGGGGCAGGTCCTGCACCAGTCGATGCAGGACATGGCTCGTCTCTTCCAGCGTCAACCCCCACAGTGTCGTCAGCTGACGCATGCGGACGCTAAATCGGGTACAGAGCAGACCGCCAGCATCTGTACGGAGCTCAATTATCTCAGCCACAACGGCTGCGTTCACTTCTGTGGCCAACAAAAGGCTCACGCTGCACAAGATGTCCAAAATAATAAGCGTGGCAGGTTGTACAGAACGAATTGGGGCCGGTGTTTGATTTGCAGCTTGGAGAACAGGTGGGCGATAGCCAGGCATGATGATTCCAGCCTGTCGAGGCGTGTTGTTGGATTGCCCGCCAATTCTTGAACGGCAATTGGGACAAGTCGACACCTGGTTGAGCTGGCCACAATTACCCACGGCATAAACAAACCCACACGGGCAGTTGTACACACGTGTCACAGCGGCCACAGAGCCCAAAATGGCACTGACATCGTCGTCGGCCTGGCCTGGCAAGAAGCTGCGGTTGCACACTTCGGCCCCATAGATCATGGCGGCCAGATAATTATCCTGTGCCATAGTCTCTGGGAATACAATGCTAAAGTGCAAAAGCAACCGATGGAGGTATCGGCCAGCATGCCCTGAGCCGGGCACGTCTGTTTGGGTATTCGGAGGCATTGTTGTTGTCCAAGCACGCTGCAGTCGCGTCGTCCAGTCAACGTTGGCCGCTGCAGCAAACTGCCGAGGCATCGGGCCCAGCTGTGCAGGGGGTGCATCAAGTAGACTGCGAAAAGCTCCAGCTGTAACGTCGTTCTGGCGTGTTGTGAGCTCGCGAGCAACTTCGGCTTGCATGGCCGACTCACGCAAGGACGGCGGTGCATCGGTGCCGCTAGTTGGCTGATTGGCAGTGGCATTGCTCCCATTGGCTGTCCCGACAGCCCCTGAAGCTGCAAACTGTTGCTTAGCCCAAGCAGCGCGTGCCACATCAGATGACAAGGGGCCAAAGACATTGCACTGATCGTCTTGTGCACCTTGCTGCTCAGGCCAGGGTAACTGGGCGATCCACGGGAGCGTTTCACGCCATCGGTCTGCATGCTCACGCAAGAGACCAAACTCGGCTTTTAAGCGAAGGTGCTTGAAAATCAAAACTTGAGCGTTCTCTGGAACTTCCGCCAATTGCTTCCAAATCGCTTGTGCATAGTCTGACATGTGTTCCAGATTCCAGTCGGCCAGCAAGATGGCCTCTACAGCTTGATTAGTGAGAGCACGAACCACCGCCACACCAAACACACTGCGTGCATCCTCGATAAACACCTGTTGCCCACGTTGCTTCGGCATGGATTTCACTGCTGCGTCTGTGTATTCTGTCAGTTCAGACGTGTGAAGGTATCGCTCAACAGCCTCAACTAGCAAGCACACGGCAGGGTGCTTTAAGGATCTGTTGCCGAGCCCACGTGCCGCGATGGCAAGTGGGCTGCTTACCGAGGGGTCCGTCGATCGGATTATTTCGACAATTTGAGCAGGAAGATCACCAACTCTACAATCATCACATGCCTTGACAACGCGCAGCAAAATGCGCGCAATGGCTGGCCATACAGGCTCCTGCGCGTTCACCAGATGTTCTTGAGGTGTCTGCATTTCGACAACCTCCAGCAGATGTTCAGTGGCGCTGCGTTTACAAACAGGGCAGAGGGGATTTTGACGGAGCCACTCGACAGCACATTCTTCACACAACTGATGCCCGCAAGGCAAACGCCTGTCGGCGATGTTGATCAGATCAATGATGCATGTGACCTGCTCGGGCAGAGCATCCAAACACTCTGCCACATGGCGCACCACAATCTCCAGAACTGATTCATCAGCGGAGGGTGTGAACAAGCTCGCCTGCAGCACAAAGTCACTAAAGACAGCCATGGCTTCGGCCACTGCACGCAGCTCACGAACGCGGCCGTCACGCAAGCACTGATCAAAAAGCACCCGCAAATGCGCAAACAGGTCATCGCCTGGAGCCATCTCAGAGTCATCTGCAATGCGCACCGTCGTTTGTGTTTCCTTGACGGGCAGCCCTCCTTCAAGCATGTGACCTAGCATGGCATACATGAGGCGGAGGCGAGCAACGTCACGAGATTCTTCAAGGAGCAACTGCCAAGGCATCTCTCCAATTGGCGTGCTTGGGCTGAGATTAAATGGTACGACACGTAGGGCTTCAGACAGCTCCTCGACGGTACGGCGATCCCTCGCGCCAAGAATTCGCTCTCGCCAGGCACGGCGTAAAGTCGTGGTCACTTGAGGAACAATATCGTCCCCATGAATTCCGGTCATGAGGAATTGGTGTGCTTCAACCTCACCAATCACAGATCGAAGCGCCTGCACTAAGACTAACAAGCTTCGCACATCCCTTTCCATCTGCATCCAGCGTCGTAATGCCACCGAGGGCGAATACTGAAACTGCTGTGGCAGCGAACGTGCAAAAATTGCACAGATGCGCAGCTCGACGTCCTTTTGGGCCCATCCCAGCAGCCGCGCCGCATCCAGAAGCAAGGCAACCATGATGTCAGGGTCCTCCTCAAACGAAATGAGGTCATCAAGGTATGCCAAGGCCTGAGAAGCCGGCCCCGCTGCCGATCCCTCATCACTCGACGTATCCATGGCACTATCACTCAAATTGTCCACCTCATGCGAGAGGGCACTGCACGCCATCGCTACACCAGGCAGCCAAGCCTGCATACTCCTTAGACCAGGAAGAAGTCGCACAGGTGGCAGCTCGTGGAGGCCGAGAGGGCGTGGGATGCCTTGCATGCGCTCACAAGCGACTCGAGCGTCGCGCTCTACAGCCAAGTTGAGCGCACGATGCCGCATGCGAATATCGTAGCGTCCAGAAGGATCTATTTGCTCATAGCAATCGGCCGGCTCGATCAAAGCTTGCAAAGTGCCCTGCGCAAGCATTTCGTGCACAATGCGAGCGCTTGCCGCTTGCAAGGCGCGAACACAAGCTTCCTCCACTGTTTTGCAAAATGGCAGGCCTTCTTGCCGACAATCCACGTCCCGCGCTACGAGTTGCACCCAATCTTCTGGCCCCATGGAGGCAAGATACGTGGCACCGATCTTAGTGACAAACAACCATAGTTGTCTCACATCATCACGCTCGCGCAATGCCAGGAGCAAGCGGGTGGTAAGCTCTTGAATGGGTGCCACTGGGCCATTGGCTGTGCGCGCCAAGCAGTGCCACATGCCCGCAGGCTGCTGAAGCCAGGATTGCACGTCTGGAACAAAGGTGTGCACAAGCTCCTCAAACCGAATTTGCCT